GCCGGGGGGGGGGGGTGCGAAGGGCGGGGGGGGGGAATGGGAGGGAGCCCCCCTCCCCCCACGGCCCCCTCCCCTCACCTTGTCCATCAGCTTCCAGCACTTCTCGACCATCTTCTTGTCCACGGTGCCGGGCTGGTGGGGGCCGAGGTGGTGGTGATGGGGCTGGAAGGCGTCCTTCATGAGGCCAATGAGGCCCCCGGGGCCCTTCTTCAGGGGGGCCGCCATGTGGGGAAGGGGGAGGCGGCCGCAGCGACACCCCCGCCGGACCCCTCGAGCAGGCTGAGGAAGCTCGGCCGGCTCAAGGCGGGGTTCCTTCCTTTCCCGTCCCGAGGGCCGCGGAGAGCCCCGGGCTCGGGCAGCGGTTGGGACGGACTGACGGGGAAGCTGCTCCACGAGCGCCGGGGACGCGCCCGACTGACGAAGAAAAGGGAAGTGGGGAGGGGAAGGAGGGCAGGAAGGGCAGCGGCGCATGCGCGCCGGCGCGAGCCTCTCCGGGCGGAGTCTCCTGATTGGCTGGGGGGACGGGAGAGGAGAAGTGGTGGGGAAGAGAGGAAGGAAAAGCGGGCGCTGCGCGAGCCTCCTCGAGGGGCGGTGCGCTGCCATTGGCCGCCCACAACGCCCCCTCCGGCGGGAAAGCCGGCTCTGATTGGTTCAGGGTTTCCAGAACGCCTGCCCCCCTTAGAAAAGCGGTTTTCTGATTGGTCCGTGGAAGGAAAGGGGCGGGGCGCCGCACCTTTCTCTTCACGTAAGATCGGCGCTGGCTCCGGGCGTTAAATGGTCTCAGTTCTATTAGTAGGACCGTATTTTTCCTTTTCGAAGGACACCCGAGAAGCCGGCACTCCCCATTCCAGGCAGGACAAGAGCATCAATCCTCGCTCTGTCCACGCCCACCCGGCGTCAGATTAGCATAGCCACGCCTCGCCGTGTCTTTAAATGTCTTTGGTGCGCCATAGAGCCGAATGCGCATGCGCCTTCAGAAGCGGGTGGGGCATAGAGGCATGCGCAGTACTTAGAAAAGAGGCTCGCGATGCCATGATGAGGTTGGGCAGTCTGGCTTCTGTAACAGCTACTGCAGAGTTGAGCAACCGGCATAGAAAAGTGCAGTTATGCAACTTACTGGCCTAATGCAGAGCTACTTCCCTGCCAGTCTATAAAAAATGTTGAATGGCAGAAATCAAATTAGTTCTTGGGTTTTAACTTGGAAGAAAAGATGCTAACTGGTAACTGGTTTTCCTTTCTAAGATCAGATTAAGAACAGATTAACACAGTTGGAAGGGACCTGGTAGGTCATTTAGTCCAACCCCCCCACGCAAGCAGGAGATTTTTCTGGCAGGTGGCAGCCAGTCTCTTCTTGAAAGCCTCCAGGGATGAAGCTCCCACAACTTAATTGTAAGCAATTGACAAATCAAATCAAATCAATAAATAAATAAACTTCCGAAGGCAACTTCTGCTCCATTGGTTGATTGTTCTCCTTATTTCCAGGTTGAATCTTTCCTTGATCAGTTTCCATCCATTATTCCTTGTCTGGCCTTCAGGTGCTTTGGAGAATAGCTTGACCCCTTCCTCCTCTCTGGGGCAGCCCCTCAAATATTGGAACCCTGCTATCATGCCGCCTCCTCTTTTCCTTCTCTTCCCTAGACCGAGTGACCAGTTCTTCATATGTTTTAGTCACCACTCCACTAATAGCAATATAGCCCTTAGCCTCACATACCACTTCACATTGCTTTCCAGCCCTCTCTAAGCGGTTTACAGAATGAGCCCAAAACAATCTGGGTATTCATTATACCAACCTTGGAAGGATGGATAGCGAAGCCAACCTTGAGCCTGGTGAGATTTGAACTGACAACTTGCAGGCAGTCAGCAGAAGTGGCCTGCAGTACAGCACTCTAACCACTGTGCCACCGAGGCTCTTGGTTGCTCTTCTCTGCACACTTTCTAGAGATTCAACGTCTTTTTTACAGTGTGGTGACCAAAACTGGATGCAGTACTCTAGGTGTGGTCTTACTAAGGCTCTAAAGAGTGATATTAGTACCTCCCTTGATCTTGATTGTATCCCTTCTGTTAATGCAATTTAGGATTGCGTTGGCTTTTTGGGCTGCCACCTCACCCTCCTGTTTCTCCAGGCTGTCTCCCATAATCCCCTGCCAGTGTGGATTTTGTACTCTAGATTGGGGGAAGCTGCCTTAAATTCAAATTTTGCAAATTTTATGAAAATTTGGAAAGTCATGCTATCTGATGACAAGGGAACAGAAAAACGCAAGGAAAATATGGAAGTGGCTGATAAAACAGAAGTAAAGTAGCAAAAAGAGAAATGAAGGTGTTGGGAGAGGTTTTGGGGTGACGAAACATCTTCACTGGCTTTCTTTCTGACAACAAAGAGGAAGTGATGATCCAAGAGAAGAAGATTGGGTTTACAGGCTGCCCTGGGCAAAGAAAATGGAGAAAGATCTGGGCAAAAGAGAACGGATCCCTTCACTCGAAGGCTCAAGGGAACGAGTTCGTTTTTCTCCGGAAATCCTAGGTGGTTTGGGGAGAAAGTGACTATTACATGACTTCTCGAAATGCAAAACAAGGAAGCCAGACAAACGCTTGTGAACTCCCCAAATCTTCTGTTGAAGAAGGGGATCGTAACACTAGTGGGGGGAAAAACATATTATATAACTGCTTCCCCACACACCCACTTCCCAGTCTCCGTTTCTGTTTCTTCCCTCTGGGAGGAGGTTTCAAAGTATTTCTAGCAGGACTACCAGATTCTGCAACAGCTTTGTTTCCTTGTGCCATCCGTCTGGTAAACTCGCAAGGTTTGTTTCTCTTGCCGTAGACACATATACTTGCAAACTAGACTTTTGTTGTTTCTCTGTGTCACATAATATATTACGTGGGTATAAGCATAATTTGGTATTCATTTATTTTGTCATGTTTATGTAGCGTATATTGGAGGTGGTGGCTCTTTGAGAGCTGAAATGCAATGAAATTTCATTTTAATGTATGATGATCGGCATACATTCAAAATGACAATAAAGTTCTTCTATTCTATCCATTCCGTTTCATTCTTCATTATTCTATTCTATCCATTCCATTCCATGTCATTCTTCATTATTCTATCCATTCCATTCCATTATTCATTATTCTATTCTATTCTATCCATTCCATTCATTATTCTATTCTATCCATTCCATTCCATTCTTCATTATTTTATTCTATTCCATTCTATCCATTCCATTCCATGTCATTCTTCATTATTCTATCCTATCCTATCCTATCTTATCCTATCCTATTCTATTCTCTCTGTACAGTCATATATATTCCTTCCATAGACACATATTCTGTATATTCATAGATATTCTGTATATCCATATATAGTGACATATTTTGTATATCTGTATATATATCTTTATACTTCATTGTTGTTTTGCACTTCTGGTTAGATGTTAACTACATTTTGTTGCATTCATGTGCAATGACAATAAAGTTGAATCTATTCTATTCTATTCTACTCTATACATTACATTACATTACATTACATTACATTACATTACATTACATTACCTGGACTCCTTTGGGGCAATGAAGCCAGAGGTGGCATTCAGCCGGTTCTGACCAGTTCTGGAGAACCAGTAGTGGAAATTTTGAGTAGTTTGGAGAACCAGAAAAACCACCTCTGACTGGAGATTTTACACTATCCTTCCCCTGCCACGCCCACCAAGCCACGCCCACAGAACCGGTAGTAAAAAAAAATTGAATCCCACCACTGAATGCAGCCCTGTAGTGTCTATTCTACCCTACCCTGTCCCTGGTGTTCTTCAAGTCCTACCAGTTCTACAGGATCTGCAGGAGAGGACCTTTGGTAGTAGGGCCAACACAATCGCCCCAAATTCTCTGCAGATTTTCAACACTCCAGACAGAAAATTAGAACAAGCAGAGGGCGAGGGGCTGAACTGAAAGATTAGGCTACGTGCTTCAGCCCAGAAGACTGAATCTGGGACTGCTGCCTCCTTTTCGTTGGTTGCCTTTTTTCCTCCTCTCCCTGCAAAAAAAGAAAAAATTCAAACAAAACATTCGGCCCAAATCTCAAAATCCTTTCTTTGCCGAACAGTTCAATGTTGCTGGGCATTGAATTCTTTTTTTTTTTCCTCTTTTGCTAAGCTTTCCTTGGTCACCATGGCAGCCAAGAAGGGCTGTTGCCACGCAACACAGAAAAAAAAACACACAACTCAGATACCTGGGAAGGGCGTGCTAAAATCCAGGCGCTTTTTCTGGCCTTTTTGCACATGGGACGCTTCTGGTGTCACCACAGCAAACATTTGCAATTATATGGTGGAAAAAAACCCACAAAGACTCTTTTTTTTTTTCTAGAAAAAAAAAAAGACTTTTTTTTCTAACCAGGTGTGAGACACAGATCTGGACTGCTGCACCGGTTGAAGACTTGAAGGAGTGCGGTGTGGAGCGTGAATTTCTGCAGTTGCACAGGCTGAGTCTTCGCAAAGATGCCCCTTCCAAAGAAAAGAAAAGTGAAAAAAACAAGGAAGCAAAAGTCATCCCTTCCAGGTAAAGTTCAGTGCAGCGATGCCAAAAATAAAAAATCTCAGGTTTGCCGGCAAAGTTCTTCCTTCACATTCCTTCCATGGAAAGTATTATACAAGAATACAAATCGATCTTTTGCAGAGAGGAGGAGGAAATGAAATCAGAACTGATTTAATTACTGGTGGCTTTCAAGAAGAGACTGGACTGCCCGTTTGTCAGCAATAGTGTAGGCAGGGTCTCCTGCTTGGTGGGGGGGTGTTGGACTAGATGACCTACAAGGACCCTTCCAAATCTGTTAACCTGTTTAAGAACCAACACCAAAGCATTACTTATTTTGCATGCTTGGGAGCAAGGCTGTTCACATTTGAAAATCCAACTCAGACACTCTACGATAACACCTGGCTTGGCTTAACATTATTTTTTTTGTTACGTGTCTTTTTTTAAAAAAAAAATATGGGGCGTGTTAGCCTTCAACTTAAATTTGTAATTTTTCACTCTGAAGGAAGAAACGATAAGGTTACAGAAGTTGTTAAAGCGACTCGTTAAAACATTTTTCTATGTCCGATGTCTCATCCTCCTCATAATGTTCAGCCCTGAAATAATAATGCGTAATTCAGAGGAAATGGGATGATATTAGAAGGCGTTTTTTCCTGCATCCCATCCCTGTTAGTCTGTTAGAGGTTCCCTGGTGTTGCGGGGGAAAACCCCGGTCCAGTTCCAAGCCGGGAGAAATTCGCAGGAGCCGATGAATTTGGAGGCAAGCTGCAAGGAAAGGAGGTCTCCATTTATTTAGAAATCAGAAGCGAAGTGACTCGGAATCGGTTCTGGGGCAGCTGACAACATGGGGGAGTAGAGTGGTTTTTATACCTTTTTGGACCTTTGAAATCGAGGTGCCTGATGGGGTTATTGGATTCGATTAGATTCTGTATTCTAACTGTCCCTATTTGGTTCCCTGGCTAATGGTCAGGGTCAAGGCTATGGAAAGGAATGTAATTTACAAGGAATGTAAATTCAGTGTGGCTTTGCGTTTACTGACTTAATCCTTGATTCTGTCCATTCAGCCTGTCTCAGTCTTCTAACTGGGGTTACTTGTGGCCATTCTGGCTGGGAGGCAATGACTGCTTTAGCACTTAGCACTTAGACTTATATTCCGCTTCATAGTGCTTTTACAGTCCTCTCTAAGTGGTTTACAGAGTCGGCCTCTTGCCCCCCAACAATCTGGGTCCACGTTTTACCCACCTGGGAAGGATGGAAGGCTGAGTCAACCTTGAGCCAGCGAGATTCGAACTGCCAAATTGCAGGAAGCCAGCAGTCAGCAGAAGGAGCCTGCAGTACTGCACTCTAACCACTGTACAGGAAGGAAGGAAGGAAGGAAGGAAGGAAGGAAGGAAGGAAGGAAGGACAGGCAATAGCACTTAGATTTATATACTGCTTCACGGTGCTTTCCAGCCCTCTCTAAGCAGTTTACAGAGTCAGCATATTGTCCCCCCCCAACAATCTGGGTCCTCATTTTACCCACCTCGGAAGGACAGAAGGCTGAGTCAACCTTGAACCTGCTGAGATTCGAACTGCCGAATTGCAGGCAGCTGGCAGGTAGCAGAAGCAGCCTGCAGTACTGCACTCTAACTACTGCGCCACTACAGCTTTAGCTTCCATGGGTGGTTTTTCTTTGCCTTCTCTGGGGGCGTGGAAATTGAGAAGTGGGGGTGTTTTAATGATCCTTCCTAACCCTGGTATTTGGAGCTCTTGTCATTATGTGTCTGACCGATGCTAAGATTCTATGAAATGCCTTCCTGGAGGTATTTTCTAAGGCTTCTAAAGTTGTCTTTAACTCAAGGGTCTTCCAACTTGGCAAGTTTAAGACTTGTGGACTTCAACTCCCAGAATTATTGAGCTAACATGACTGGAGGAGGAGGAATTCTAGGAGTTGGGGTGCCACAGGTTTTAAAGCAGAGGACCCCTGCTTTAACTAAATACCTCCGTTCTTCACCTTTCTCCAGCATTTGTTCTGCGTCTTCCCTCCTTTCCCTCCAGGTGAGGAGAGCCACAAAAAGGCATCACCGGAGGTTGACGCGCTTAAGCAGCACTTGGGTGAGGAGAGATGTACAAATCTATGTTTTATTAAAGCGGATAGTTTTTTAAAAAATATTAAAATTCGTAATTTCCCCCCTTTCCCAGTCCCTTCATTTCTGACACGAGAGGAGACCGAACACTGACGTGGCTTCCGTGTCCTTTTGCCTTGCAGTTCTCCAGAGAGACCTGGCCAAACAGGCCATGATTGACGGGGAAGGATTCAGGCAGAGGCTGACAGAACTGGAGAGAGAGCTGGAGGAAGCCCAGAAAGACAAAAAGGATATTTTTGAAGGTTATTTGGGGGAGGTGGGAGGGACTGCTCCCCTGGTCGTTGCTTGCAGAAACCGATACGCTCCTTGTCCCAGAAATGGGACTGGCAGTGGGATGGAAAATGCCTTAATATCTTTGTCTTTCATTCCTCTGGGGCAGGGGTCTGCAACAGTGGTGGGATTCAAACATTTTTACTAGCATTTCTATGGGCGTGGCTTGATGGGTGTGGCAGGGGAAGGATACTGCAAAATCCCATTCCCTCCCCACCCCACTAACCTGCTTTTCAGCTCCGTTCTCCTGTGCAGGGCAACCAAAGGAGACCCAGCCAATCAGCTGGGGCTTGGGAAGCAGAGAATAGATGGGCTTGGCAGGGCCAGTCAGAGGTGGGATTTGCCGGTTCTCCGAACTACTCAACATTTCTGCTA